AAAAATAGACCCTTTAATTTTTTACACTGTCATTATGTTTCTTTTCTCAAATTTGGGTGAATTAATTGTTACTGTTCCTCACAGAAATAATGAAAAATACTAAGAAATGTCCAATATTATATGTTATCTAAAATACATGAATCGCAAAATGATGATCACTCAGAATTTGATGTGTGATCTCTACAATAGAGAAAATTGCCTAAAAAAAATAAAGCTTCTAGAAAAATCCTTTATAACGTTTTATTTAGTAATGAGGTCAAGGAAAATTTTTAATTAGATGAAAATGCTTTCTAAAAATGTTTTGTCTGCACTCTAGAAAAATGGAAAACAAGTATGCTGGGTTTCTTATTGAATATAAACATATGCATATATGTAGATATGTACATATGTGTGTGTATATATAAAAATATATGTATACTATATATGCATTTCCAATTGACTAAATATCGTATTCAATAGAGTATTATTGTAGTTACATAAAATAGTTTCTCACTTTGATATAAATCAGAAGTAATGTACTTACAGCAAATTTGAGAGCCCAGCCCTCTCATTGACTATAGAAAGCCAACTATGGAAGCCTGAAGATTAATCAGCTAAAGTAATTTCCTGTTAGATAAAGATGCTTAATTTTTTGTAACTCCTGAACTTAAACTATCATACACTGCTTAATACTGCATCACAATGTATGCCTAGTTTAAGAGGGAGGATAAGTTCAGGTTTTCCCTTATTACAGGGAAAGGAAGATGCTTGCTTAATCTCATCAGGGAAATATTTTGTTCGGTTTGGACAATCTTCATTCTGACATATTGTAAAACTGTCCTAGTACATAAATAGAAGCTGTGATTAGAAGAGACTTTAAAGGTCACCTTGGCAAACGCTTTCCAAGAGATTCTTGTGCATAAGCTTAGAAATGCTGAGACCTTCTTGCCTTACTCTAATGATAATATTTAGTTGGTTATATCCAAAGAAAAGTACATTTTTCACTTAAATTAACTAAAGAACCTATTCAATACTGATTTAAAATAATAAGTAATTTCCTGGATTTGTAGTCATTCATTTATTCACTTAACAAAATAGTAACTATCAGAGGTGATACTGCATGCAAAGCCATGTAGATATCTATTAGAAGAAATTTTTGTTGAAAGAGAAACACAGTGAGTTCAAATCACAGACTCTGGTGTCATACCACCTGAATTTAAATTCTTGATCTGACTCTTATGAGCTGCATGACTTTGGACAAGCTATATGACCTTTCTGTGCCTTAGTTTCCTCATCTATAAACTGTGAGTAATAATGGTAAAATGGTATGGTCACTCTATGGGTTTGGAAACTTATATGGAAAGAACTCTTAAAATAGCGTCTGGCCCACATAAGTGCTCTATAAGCATTTGCTGTCATTATCATGAATGTTTTTGCTTTGCTTGTCAACATATTTTATAACTTGTCAATTTATGTCCACATGTTTATTATTGAAAGTAGCAGTTCTCAGTGGGGGTGGGGGTGATTTGGCCCCCAAGAGAAAACATCTGGCAAAATGCCTGCAGACATTTTTACTTGTCAAAACTATGTAGTTTCTACTGGCATTTAGTGGGTAGAGACCAAGGATGTTGCAAAATATCTTAAAATGCACAAGACAGTCCCCTCACAAAGAAAGGATTATCTAGCCCAAAATGTCACTATAACTGAAGTTGAGAAACCCTAATTTAAGAAAGAGAACTATGTCGGAAAACTGCAAAGCAAAATTTCAGGTGACAGCTGTGTGGCAGATTTTGCATATGAGGACATGTTACTCATAGGATTTGGAGCTTGAAAGGATTTAGAAGGAAACTCCTTAAGCTTCAGCCCTCGAGTGGTCCAAGTATAAAGGCAGCCACA